ATTTTGGACTCCCCAACAAGTGGAAACTTACAGCCTATTATTAATGTCCACGTTATTAAATCCAATATAGCAATACTGTAGCATTTTAGGACCACTTAAACGGATTAGGTTTAATATCTGCACCCGCAGGATTCTATTTTTTAGGCTCTCGCATACAGACTGATTTGAAGTTCTCAGTGTGAACAGAATGTTCATTGAACAAGTTGGCCTGATAACTCCAATACGCATCCAGTTCAAACCATGGTGTTCAGTCTCCCTATTAGCCCAATCATCAGCCTTTAAAGTAATCTCATCAGGGGAGACATCTGAATTAAACCTATCCATCGGTGATGAATCTATACCGAATTTAATTGATATTGCAATCTTAGCAGTCCACGGGTTAAAGATCTTTGCAACCAAACATTGAAATGCAATTGGCCTAGTGTTTCCACTTCTGTATCAGACATACATTGCTATAGTATAACATTCCCAGCTCCCACCAGAAGCGCAAAATTGGATTTCTCCCAGGTCGGATACTTTTTCGTGCACCCAGCGCACAGGTATTTGGAACACCTAAGCTCAGCCGAGAGCGAGAGAGAGAAATATGTGAGTGTACGTTGAACAGGTCAGTCATTCCTTGCACTCTGTACTCCCTTTATCAATTATTTTTTATGACCCCAAGGCTAAGTCCGAATTGATAGTGGACAAGATATGAGATTGCTGAGAACACACACATGCACCCTTAGACACACAGCACAGCATTTCCAAGTTAGGGTTTTTTTCCTTCAAAGAATCTAAGTCGTGTTCTCAACACTACCAGAGTTTAATGAACGTCAGATTTTTTTCTTCTTTTTGTGCCATTTTTCAAGATTCAAACACATAATTTGCACAGTGCTTGAGTGAGAGAATAACACTTCTGGCAATAGCTGCGGTTGCAGTGAGAGAGTGATATATGTATATATACCGGAGGCAGACTGGGTGTATGGGAAAATGGGAAATTTCCCAAGTGTCCCCCACGAATGGTTCTCAAGTTCCCCACCCTGACTGGGGGCCCTGTAGGGTTTAGTTCAGACGTTCCATTTAAGCTTGACAAGGTTCTTAAATGCACAGATATGTGTGCTTCCGAATCAGCAATTGCAATATGAAAACCACCGTGAATCAGTACCCCCACAAATCAGCGCCCCCTCTGCTCCCCCCCCCCCCCACCACTCCCCTCACCCCATGAATCAGTGTCCCCATTTTACAAGACAATCCTATTTGGGGAGACAGTCCACCACCGGCTCCCCCAAAACGGTACGTTTCAGGGTTGAGACAATTTGTACGGTCTTGCTCCCGGTGATTCAGCTGAATAACAAAGTATCCTCCCCGGTGTCTGGTGCTCCTGTTGTGTGGGGACCTGCACATACCTCGCTTCGACAGCTCACTTACTGACCTCAACCCTTTCAGTATTCGTGTGGAATGCATGAAACTTGTGTCAGGTGGGGAAGGTACTCTGTACGATCTTGCTTTGGCCTCACGCATTTTCTTGTGTGGAACCATCAAATTTTTCTCTCGCGAGAGAGAGAGAGAGAACTATTTTCTCCGGTGGGGGGAATCCAGAACAAGGGGGGGCATAATCTTAAAATGAGACCTAGGTCATTTAGGAGAGAATCAGGAGGCAGTTTTTCACCCAAAGGGCAGTGGAAATCTGGAACGTTCTCCCCCAAAAGGCTGTGGATGCCAACTCCATTCAAATGTTCAAGACTGAGGTGGATAGATATTTGTTAGGTTGGGGTATCAAGGTATGTGGGGCAAGTGTGGGTAATTGGAGTTGAGGTACCTTGGGACTTGGGACATCCTTCCGACAGGAACGCCTCTCTCTCTGTCATTGTATGTTGTTGTTGAATGGAATTACATTTTTGATGTGGGGAATAGCAAATTGCGAGGAATACGCATTTTTAAAACCAAAATTTAAGAGGGGCTTATACCCTTGATTGAGGCAATAAATCTTTATTTGTTAAATTCAAATTTTATTTGATTATTTTCTTTCAAGAGTAGAAGAAATATTTCTTTTAAATTGCTCCTTTCGTGACGACGCCAAGCTTTGCCGGACCCACGAATTGTGGTCACGATCGACGAAAGTTGACTCGCGCTGCTTTCTGCATTCCTTTCCCTTCGTTTTAGAAGGTTACGAGCGAGATCTTGAACGCAGCGAGCGCGTTCCTTAACTTTGTATTCAGTTTCGCGACTTGTGAAGCGCTTTGAGACGCCTCGAAGACGCGATAAGGCGCTATATCAAATGCAAGGAGTATTATTATTATTATTGTTGTGTAACTATGGGGAACTGTACTGACCAGACAAATCCCTTTTAATCATCAACACAGTCGTGGGTTAAATGCCACCACAGGACATTGGCAGTGTAACTGTTGGGAACAGAAACGATGCAAGGTTTTTGTTTTGCTGGGAGGTGGGGTAGGAAAGTCAACAGATCCTTTTTGGAAGTGGAAACAAGCCCCTACCCCTTGTGTGTGTGTGTGTGTGT